CAGTTGATGATATTTGGGGTCAGTTGATGATATTTGGGGTCAGTTGACAATATCTGGGGTCAGTTTGGGTTATTTGGAGTCACCTGTCCGTTTTTCGGGTCCCCAGGGCTCCCCAAGGCCGCGGTGGTGACGGAGCAGAAGCTGCTGATGGTGGCCAGCCTGGCCGGCATGTGTGGGCTGCGCCGCGACGACGTCGTGTACACCACGCTGCCCCTCTACCACTCGGCCGGGCTGCTCGTCGGCCTCGGAGGCTGCCTCGAACTCGGTGTGGGAGAGAACCCGGCCAGCAGGACAACAGAGGGAGGGAGGGAGGGAGGGAGGGATGATGGATGGATGAGGGATGGAGGGATAAAGGGAGGGAGGGAGGGATGGATGGAGGGAGGGATGGGTGAGCGGACGAAGGGAAAAGCGAGGAGGGAGGGGGTCACACCCCCCCCCGGCCGTGTCCCCCCCAGGAGCCACGTGTGTCCTGAGGAGCAAGTTCTCGGCCTCCCAGTTCTGGGCCGACTGCCGGCGCTACAACGTCACCGTCATCCAGTACGTGGGGGAGCTCATGCGCTACCTGTGCAACGCGCCCCCGGTGAGCCCCAAAACTACCCCCAAACTGCCCCCAAACTGCCCCAAAACTGCCCAAAAACTACACAAAAACTGCCCCTAAACTACCCCTAAACTGCCCCTAAACTACCCCCAACACTGCCACAAAAACTGCCCCAAAGCTGCCATGAAAACTGCCATGAAAACTGCCACAAAAACTGCCACAAAACTACCCCAAAAACTGCCCCAAAAACTGCCCCAAAAACTGCCCCAAAAACTGCCCCAAAACTGCCACAAAAACTGCCATAAAACTGCCCCAAAAACTGCCCCAAAAACTGCCACAAAACTGCCACAAAAACTGCCATAAAACTGCCACAAAAACTGCCCCAGAAACTGCCACAAAACTGCCACAAAAACTGCCCCAAAACTACCCCAAAAACTGCCCCAAAAACTGCCACAAAAACTGCCACAAAACTGCCCCAAAAACTGCCATAAAACTGCCCCCAAAAACTGCCCCCAAAACTGCCAAAAAACTGCCCCCAAAATGCCCCAAAAACTTTCTAAAAACTGCCACCAAAACTGCCATAAAACTGCCCAAAAACTGCCTCCAAAAACTGCCCCAAACCTGCCCCAAGCCCACCCCAAACCCACCCAAACCCCCCGTCCCCCCCCAGCGCCCCGATGACCGGGAGCACGGGGTGCGCATGGCCCTGGGCAACGGGATGAGGGCGGAGGTGTGGAAGGAATTCCTGCGGCGCTTCGGGCCCGTGTCCGTCTGGGAATTCTACGGGGCCACCGAGGGCAACGCCGGCTTCATCAACTACACCGGCAAGGTCGGGGCCGTGGGCAGGGCCAACGTGTTCATCAAGGTGAGAACTGGGGGGGTTTGGGGCCAACGGGGGGGGTTTGGGGGCGGCTGGGGGGGGTTGGGGGTAAATCGGAGACGTTTGGGGCTTATTTAAATAGATTTAGACTTGAGATTTAGACCGAAAGATTTAAACTAAAATTCAGACCTAAAAATTTAGAATTACAGGTTTAGGCCTAAAGATTTGGACTTCCAGACTCAAAGACTTGGACTGACTCAAAGATTCAGACTCTGACATTTCCCATCCAGGCCGGTCGAACCCAAGCGGTTTTTAACCCCCAGGACATTGGAATTG